TCCCTTGTCTGCGGGTTTTATGGTGAGGTTGGGATTGGAGTGGAGGGAGCGGAGGGCTGCACGTTCTGTGGGGGAGAGGTTGGAGTGGATGAGAGGGGTGGAGAGGTTGAGGCGATCGATGTCTCGACGGCAGTTAGAGATGAAGAGGTCGAGGGAGGGTAGGAGGCCTTGGGGTGGTGTCCAGGAGGAGGGGGTGTGTTGGAGGCGGGAGAAGGGGTCAGTAGAGGGAGGGTTAGGCTCACGGTTAAAGAAGTAAGCGCGGAGGCGGAGGCGGCAGAAAAACTGTTCACCATCTAAGCGTGAGTTGTATTCGTTGATGTTTGGGTGGAGGGGGACAAAAGTGAGTCCTTTACTGAGGACTGACCGTTCGTCCTCAGTAAGGGGGAGGTCTGGGGGGGATGGTGAAGACTCGGCAGGGCTGGGTGTTGCTGTTTCCTCTGGAGCTGCTGGCTGTGGAGGAGGTGGGCAGAGCGACGTCAGCGTCGGCGGTGGGCGGATCTGCGTCGGCGTCGGTGGTGGGCGGAGCGATGTCAGCGGTGGGCGGAGCAATGTAGGCCAGTAAATCTTGGATGTTGGTGGTAGCGGCATCCTCAGTGTCTGTGTAGGCCTCGGAAACGGAGGCGGCAGCATCAGCAGCGGTGTTGATGGCGTCGGCTGTACCGGAAGTGGCGTACCGGGTGGCGGCGGATGAGACGTCATCCGTGGAATCCGTGGGTGCTCCGAAGGTGGCCACATGGCCAATGGCGGCGGGCACATGGTGGGGAAGGTCCTGGGTAGGGTGGCAGGCACCAGTAAGTTTAAAGTACTTTCGGTTTTTAGTGTCCAAATCCGCCCACCGCTGGGCCCACCAAAGGGCTCACCTTTGTCCCCCTCCACCCTAACATCAATGAATACCACTCACGCTTGGATGTTGAGCAGTTTTTCCGCCGCCTCTGCGCTTACTTCTTTAATCGTGAGCCTAACCCTCCCTCTACTGACCCCTTCTCCCGCCTCCAACACACCCCCTCCTCCTGGACACCACCCCAAGGCCTCCTACCCTCCCTCGACTTCTTCATCTCTGACTGCCGTCGAGACATTGATCGCCTCAACCTCTCCACCCCTCTCACCCACTCCAACCTCTCCCCCACAGAACGTGCAGCCCTCCGCTCCAATCCCAACCTCACCATAAAACCCGCAGACAAGGGAGGCGCAGTTGTAGTATAGCGCACTGACCTCTACATCGCCGAGGCCAGGCGCCAACTCTCCGACACCTCCTCCTACCGCCCCCTTGATCATGATCCCACCCCCGACCACCAAACCATCATCTCCGAAACCATCCACAACCTCATCACCTCAGGTGACCTCCCACCCACAGCCTTCAACCTCATCGTTCCCCAACCCCACACCGCCCGTTTCTATCTCCTTCCCAAAATCCACAAACCTGACTGCCCTGGTCGACCCATTGTCTCCGCCTGCTCCTACTCCACCGAACTCATCTCCACTTATCTCGACTCCATTTTCTCCCCCTTGGTCCAGGAACACCCCACCTACGTCCGTGACACCACCCACGCCCTCCACCTCCTCCAAAACTTCCAATTCCCTGGTCCCCAACACCTCATCTTTACCATGGTCGTCCAGTCCCTGTACACTTGCATTCCCCACGTGGATGGCCTAAAGGCCCTCCGCTTCTTCCTGTCCCACATGCCCGACCAGTCCCCCTCCACTGGCACCCTCATCCACTTAACTGAACTATTCCTCACCCTTAACAACTTCTTCTTCAATTCCTCCCACTTCCTACAGACAAAGGGGGTGGCCACGGGTACCCGCAAGGGCCCAAGCTATGCCTGCCTCTTTGTAGGATACGTGGAACAATCCCTCTTCCAAAGCTACACTGGCCCTAACCTCCACCTCTTCCTCTGTTACATCGATGACTGTATCGGTGCCCCCTCGTGCTCCCGCGATGAGCTCAAACAGTTCATCCACTTCACTAACACCTTCCACCCCAACCTTAAGTTCACCTGGACCTTCTCTGATACCTCTCTCTCCTTCCTGGACCTCTCTGTCTCCATCTCTGGCATCCACCTGGAAACCGATATCCATTTCAAGCCTACCAACTCCCACAGCTACCCAGAATACACCTCCTCTCACCCACCTTCCTGCAAAAAAGCCATCCCCTATTCCCAATTCCTTCGCCTCCGCCACATCTGCTCCCAAGATGAGGCATTCCACTCCCAGACATCCCAGATGTCCTTGTTTTTCAAGGACCGCAACTTCCCCTCCATGGTGGTCGACAATGCCCTCGACCATGTCACCTCGCATTTCCCGCAACTCATCCCTCACACCCCCTACCCACAATAACAACCAAAACAGAATCCCCTTCATCCTCACGTACCAGCCCACCAACCTCCGACACTTCTGCCATCTGCAATCTGACCCCACTACTAAAGACATTTTGCCGTCCCCACCCTTATCTGCTTTCCGGAGGGACCACTCTCTCCGTGACTCCTTTGTCCGCTCCATACTCCCCACCAGCCCCATCACCCCCGGCACTTTTCCCTGCAACTGCAGCAAGTGCTACACTTGCCCCTACACCTCCCCCCTCACCCCTATCCCAGGCCTTAAGAAGACCTTCCACATCAAACAGATGTTCACCTGCACATCTGCTAACGTGGTATACTGTATCCGCTGTTCCTGTTGTGGCCTCCTCTACATCGGGGAAATCAAGCGGAGGCTTGGGGACCGCTTTGTGGAACACCTACGCTCGGCTCACAACAAACAACTACACCTCCCAGTCGCGAACCATTTCAACTCCCTCTCCCACTCCTTGGATGACATGTCCATCCGGGGCCTCCTGCATTGCCACAATGATGCCACCCGAAAGCTGCAGGAACAGTATCTCATATTTCGCTTGGGAACCCTGCAGTCTAAGGGTATCAATGTGGACTTCACAAGCTTCAAAATCTCCCCTCCCCCTACCGCATCCCAAAACCAGCCCAGCTCGTCCCCACCTCCCTAACCATTTCTCCCACCTCAACCCCCACCCCCATCTCCTACCCACTAACCTCATCCCACCTCCTTGACCTGTCCGTCCTCCCTGGACCGACCTATCCCCTCCCTAACTCCCCACCTACATTCACCTTTACTGGCTCCAACCCCGCCTCTTTGACCTGTCTGTCTCCTCTCCACCTATCTTCTCCTTTATCCATCTTCTATCCGCCTCCCCCTCTCTCCCTATTTATTTCAGAATCCCCTTCCCCTTCCCCATTTCTGAAGAAGGGTCTCAACCCGAAACGTCAGGTTTCCTGCTCCTCTAATGCTGCTTGGCCTGCTGTGTTCATCCAGCTCTACACCTTGTTATCTCAGATTCTCCAGCATCGGCAGTTCCCACTATCTCTGTAACTCTTTTCCTAGCATTAGTTTACTCCAGTGGAGTAAGAACAACAAGCTCAATTTCAAATTTTTAAACATTTTCTTCATATTTTCCATACAAGCAGTAGCTTTTAGCTCAACAGCAGAATGTGATTAATGAATCAGACACACACTGATTATCACCGAAGTTGTCAGAGCTGGCTGACTTGTGAGCTGTGCAGAGAGGAGAGGGGCTGATGGCAGTCTGTTTATGTGGGTTGGGACCAGAAAGTTTAATTAGAGCGAGTGTATTTAGTATGTGTGAGGACCTTCACTGAGTCTTCTGTCACTGGGAAATGTGGACTGCATTAGTGAAACCCACACGTACATAAAATAGGAACATTTTTATAAACGACTTTAAAACACTGATGTTTGTATTTATATTCAAGTTTGTACATACTCATAATTATGTACTGATAGTTACTATGTGGCTATCTTTGCTGTTTTGTTACTATTTGGGCACATACTAATTTTTGAGTGTTAAAAGCAGTGTCATTTTGAAGACTAGTTTGAGAAGTACCGTTGTAGCCAATGGTTGCATCCTCTTTCCTGTCAACTGTCTCAGGCTGAACCATGCTATTTGCAACCTCCAACATCTTATTTCATCCTAAACTGTGTTTTGGCTCCAATATCCATCATGAAAATTCTTTACTATTAAGTTTCTTAACGCCACCAGCCATCTCCTCCGCTAATTCAGGTGAAGTTTTCGGGTTTGATTCAATTATTTATGATGCTCCGCTGGCCACAGCCGCCCATTCTGCTTCTTGAGCCCCTGCAAAATTGCTATTTCCCCAAGTTCCATTACTTCTTAAGTTACATTGACTCCGAGCGCACCAATTCCTTGATTTTAAAATTCTTAACCTCATGTTCAAATCAGTCTGTGACCTCACCTCTACTGTCTTTGTAATGTTCTCAGGCCCCACATTCCTTGATAACTTGCCATTCCTCCAAATCTGACTTACTTCACTCCAATGTTAACAGCTGTGTCTTCCACCATCAAGACATTTCATCTGTCTCTCATACACAGTCTCTCTCCTGCTTCAAGATGCCCATTAATAGCTACTTCATTGTTTGAGCATTTTTTACGTGTCCTAATATTTTCCTTCATTGGTTTCGGTGTCAATTTTTGACTGACCATGCTTCTATGAAGTGCTTGGCATGTTTTACTACATTAAGGCTGCTGTTTAAATATACTTTACCGCTATTGATTGAGAACAAGATATAATCATTCAAAGTCAATCCTTCTTAAAAGCTCCATCTGTTCTATCTGGAAGATGCAAAAGAGTCCATGGTACTGTTTCAAAAAAGTTTGGGGCTGTTAGCCCCATGTCTGGCCAATATTTATTTCTCAAGTAATCAACAAATGTAAAACAGATTGTCCAGTTAATATTATACTGTTTGTGCAACCATGCTGTGTGCAAATTCGCTGCCACATTTCATATATCAGGTCAATGATTAAACTTCAAAGTAAAGGAACTACATAAGAAGCCTTTTATCTTTCATGCAAAATTACAGTTTTCAGAAGGACAATGAAGCATGAGGTATCAATAGATTCCTGCTCATAATTGATAGAAAATAAAATTGTTACATGTAAGCTGGTTAAATATATGCTAGTGTGATAAACCATGTTAAGTTTATCTTCACTTTGACCTATTTACCTTTAAGTCCATAAAACATCCTTTGGCCATTTTATGACTGCATATTTGCCAGTGCAATCAAGCTTTAGCTATGAATTCCACACATTTAATACAATCTAGACAAACAACTATTGTTAATTTATGCAATATACAGTGCAAAAAAACTAGTCATAGAAATCAACTGATAAGGTAAACTCTGCTGGATTGAGAAGAAAATAACTGAAAATAGATAACGGTGTGTGTACAAAGCTGGGTGCAAAGGGCAATGCAGGCACACATATGGTGATCATATCCAAATTAAAGAAACGTGACCTTGAACATTTTAAGTAAAGTCTCAGTTAATTTTTGAAAATAGCCATACTAATGTTTCCATGTCTATTGAAAACAAAAGTAAAAAGTACTTTTCTACATTCATAGGGAGTTTGTCAACATTTGAGTATATTGTATATTAGAGCTTGTAGGATGAAGACCAAATAGAAAATACAGTGGTAACCTAGGCTGACATTTTTGTTTGATCTTGTCTTTTTGTATCATAGAATCATTGAATCCCTACAGTGTTGAAGCTGGTCATTGGTCCATCGAGTCCATATGGACCTGTTGAAGACCATCCCAGCCAGACTCATCACCCCTATCCTAATCCTGTATTTCCTATGGCTAACCCACCTAGCCTGCACATCCCTGAACAGTACGGAGCAATTTATCATGGCCAATCCACCTAACCTGCACATCTTTGGACTGTGGGAGGAAACCAGAACACCCGGAGGAAACCCACGCAGACACGAGAGAATGTGCAAGTTCCACACAGACAGTCACCTGAGGCTGCAATCCAACATGGGTGCCTGTTAAAATTATGAATTTGTGTTGAATCAAAGCACGTCAGCAGTTCAGGTGGATAGATCTTACTTGGGACTTTATGAAGGCCACCACAGGTGGTTTACAAAGTTTTGTTCTGGCTAAATTTCTCCTCAGATGAACGTCACCAGCATTGATTAACTAACACCAATCTCACTGTTGTGTACAAATTGATTCCTATACAACTGCAAAGTACTTGCACTTTAAAGGAATAAATTTGGGACCAACAGAGGAAGTGCAAGTTAACTTGCACAGCATGGTGGCTCAGTGGTTAGCACTGTTGCCTCACAGCACCAGGGGCCTGGGTTTGATTCCACTCTTGTATGATTGTCTGTGTGGAGCTTGTACATTCTTCCCATATCTGCGTGGGTTTCCTCCAGGTGCACTGCTTTCCTCCCACAGTCCAAAGATGTGCAGGTTAGGGTGGATTGGCCATGCTAAATTGCTTATAGTGGTCCAGGGATGTGTAGATTAGATGGATTATGGGGGGATGGGTTTGGGTGAGATGCTGTGAGAGTCAGTGTGGACTTGTTGGGTTGAAGGGCCTGTTTCCACACTGTAGGGATTCTAAGAACTTCTAAAGGTAATTGTAAATAAACCTGATGCCATCATTCGAGAAGAGCAGCAGAGTTGTTCTGTTAAATCCTGACCTACATTTGTCAGTCAGCCAACATCACTCACACAGATTATTGACGTCAATGTTGGTTTGAACAAATTAGCTCCAAAATTTTCCTACAAGTGATTTCACTGACTCCTGAGACAAAACGTCAGTTATGCGTCTCGAACCTGGGCCAACAAGGACTACATCTCCCAAAGGGCAGCGCGTCGGTGCGCACGCGCTCACGGACAGTTTCTCTCACCCCTTCCCCTCAAACCTCCGGCCGTTGACATCCTCCATGTGGGGAGGTGGCAGGTACGGAGAGGACGGAACGGCAGCCTAAAGTCGAGGTGGCTGGAGCTTGAAGGTGTTCCGCGACTTGCGTGCGATTCAAACGTGGAGTGCTGTGGAGGAATTGCCAGTTTGGATTACGGCAAGGTATCGGCCGTCACCCCCACAACCCCCGTCCTCCCCTTCTCCCACTGACAGCCTCAGCGAGCAGGCCGCGTGGTTGCTATGGCTCCACCGCACCCGGGGAGGGGCAGAGAATGCATTCAATCAGCCACCCCTACCCTGCTTCCCATTTATTGGGGCTATGGCCAGTTTGGCACTTTGTGCAACATTTTAATTCCACCTCACTAACCAATCTCCCCACCTGTTATCCCAGGAGATTTTTTTTTTAAATTCTACTTCTATTCACTGACTTTAACCAAAAAAAAACATGCTCAACCCTTAACACCGTGGCACGATCGAAAAATGCTTCCGGAGCTGACCTGAGGTAGAATGGTGCTTTCACACTAATACCACTGTAATTAAAGTAAATATTCTGCCATCGATTTCCAACCATCTTTCAGGTATTCCCACAATTTGCATAATATGTTTTACTTTCTAATTTAGTGATAGTTCAGAGCCACTAATATTTGTTAAATAAGCTAAATGCTCAAAAATCTTTTCAAATGATGTGTCAACTTCAACTAACCGTAACTACCTGTTGAGTGAACGTATGCATTTCTGGGTGGCATTGCTTATAGCCAAGAAAAAAAGTTGTTTGAAAATTTTTATTATGGTAGCCTATCATGCTACAATAAAAATTGGACAATGTTCAGTCTTACAGTCATAGAGATGTAGGGCATGGAAACAGACACTTCAGCCTAACTTATCCATGTTGACCAGATGTTCTAAATAAATTTAGACCCATTTGCCAGCATTTGGCCCATATCCCTTTAAACCTTCCTATTCATATACCCATGCCTTTTAAGTGTTGAAATTGTAGCAGCCTCCGTTACTTCCTTTGGCAGCTCGTTCTGTACGTGCCCTACCCTTAGTGTGAAAAATTTGCCCCTTCGATCCCTTTTAAATCTTTCTCGTCTCACCTTAAACCTATATGCCCTCTAGTTTTGGACTCCCCTGTGGGAAAGACCTTGTCTATTTATCCTACCCATGCCCCTCATGATTTTATAAACTTCTATAAGGTCACCCCTCAGCCTGTTGACACTGCAGGAAAAATAGCCCCAGCCTATTCAACCTTTCTTTATAGCTCAAACCCTCCAACCCTGGCAACATCCTTTAAATCTTCTCTGAACCCTTTCAGTTTCACAACGTCCTTCTTCTAGCAGGGAGACCAGAATTGCGCACAGTTTTGATTGTTTAATGTAATTCCCCTCTGAAGTGTCCTAGCAGGCCAATCAGTTCAAGGGTGATTAGAGGCAGACAACAAAAATACTGGACCTCTCAGTGATATCACATGAAAGAATTTTTTTTAAACTTTTAGAGTCATAGAGATCTACAGCATAGAAAAGGATCTGTTGGCCTATGATGTCCATGCTGGTCAAAACAATCACCTAACTCTAAACTATCTAATCCCATTTTCCAGCTTTGCATGATTTTACATTGCATATACATATTTAAATACTACTAAAATATTGTGAGGCTTTCTGCCTGTATCACCCTTACAAGCAGTGAGTTCCAGATTTCCACCACCCTCTGGGTGAAAAGGTTTTTTTCCTCACATTGCCTCTAAACCTTCTGCCCCTTACCTTAAATCTAGCCCCAGACTGTTGATCCCCCCATCAAGGGAAAAGTATCTTCCTTTCTTCTTCTACCCTATGTGTGCCTCTCATTATTTTATACATCTCAAATATGTCCTTTCTCAATCTCCTCTGCTTTAAGGAAAGCAACCGCAGTCTGTCCAATCTCTCTTCATAACTGAAACTCTCCAGTCCAGCAAATATCCTGGTAAATCTCCTCTGTACTGTTTCCAGTGCTATTGTATTGCCCCTTTAATGTGGATTCCAGAACTGCACACCATAATCTAGCTGTGGCCTAAATAATGTTTCATACAGTTCCAGCATAACATCCCTGCTTTTAAACTCTATGCCTCAACTTTTTTTATTTCAAAAATGTTCTTCATAAGTAAAAATACCTTTTGTATACATGCTTAATCACAAACGCAGTTCGGTTCTGTACAGTAGCATATGAGGAACACAGAAACATTGGATTTTGACTCTAGTCAACAAAACAACCCAACACATTTCTTTCTTGTACAGGATTATATTTACATACATTTGAGGCACAGGGATGGTCCGATAACTGAACGGACCACCATTTGACTTTGGCAGAAAGACCTTAGACTGTGGCCTTTGTCCACTGTGTCTTGGTGGCAGCTGCCCCAAACCTTAGTGTGTCCCTCAGCAGGTAATCCTGAACCTTGGAATGTGCCAGTCTGCAATACTAGCTTGAATTAAACTCCTTGTTCTGGAAGAGCAACAAGTTTTGGGCAGACCAAAGAGTGTCTTTCACCGAATTCTAGGGATTCTATGTCTATGCCTTAATGGTCCTCCAGATGCAGTCAATGTTTGTCTCGGTATGCATCCCAGGGAAGAGACTGTAGAGCACAGAGTCCTGTGTCACGTAGCTGCTCGGGATGAATGTTGACAAAAACCACTGCATCTCTCTCTTGATTTCTTTTGCAAAGGCACATTCCAGAAGGAGATATGTGATAGTCTGTAACCCCCCACAGCCACTTCAAGGGCAGCATGCAGTGATGCGGCAGACCGGCGTACAAGAGGGATTGCATAGGTAGTGCATTTCTCACTACATGTCAAACAAATGTCTTGATGCTTGTGGGAAAGTTCTGGTGATGAGGCATACTGCCAGCTGACTTTGACAGTCTGCTCAGGGGACCACGTGACAGGATGCACCCTCTCCTTTTCCTGCAGGGTCTCAAGAATGCTATGTGCTGACCACTCCCTGATGGACTTATGGTCAAAGATGTCTTTCTTTGCAGATTTTTTCATGAATGACAGGTGATACAGAATGGTCCAACTACATGGAGTTGTCCACGGCAGTGAGACCAGTCCCATCCTTAGCAACACCAGGGACAAGTAGAAAGTCAGTACATAGTGACACATGGTGTTTGCATACCAAGGGTCTACGCACAACTTAATGCTGTCACATGCAAAGGTGGCCATCAAGACGATGGTGGCATTGAGTACGTTCCCCCTCCGACCCCACCACACCACCACTTTTCCAGAGTTTTGTATATGGTGTCCCTGTGGATCCGGTCCATCTTAGACCTCCAGATGAAGTGGAAGGTAGCTCAGGAGACTGCAACGGCGCAGGTTCAGGAAAAGGGCCAGACCTGCGCCATGTACAGTAACAGAGTGCCTCACACCTGATGGACCAGGCTTTTATCCACAATGGAGAGGGAGTGGTGCTTCCAAAAGCTCAGTTTCTGACACACCTTCTCCAAACCATATTCCAGCACCTTCAGGTATTTGTCCTGATAGTGATGGGGTAAAGATTTGGTTGGCCCAGTTCCCAAAGAGCATAGCCTTGCTGTTGCTCAATTTACCTTGGCTCCCTAGGCCAATTCAAACCGGTCGCAGATTCTGATGAGTCTGCACACTGACAGCGGATCTGAGCTGAAAGCAGTGATGTCATTCATGTACAGGGAGGCTTTGACGTGCAGGCCTCCACTGCCTGGAATAGTTATCCCTCTCGGGCTCCCATCCTTCCTGATGGACTGAGCAACACACACACAAGGCAGAAGAGAGTGGGCACCCTGCCTGACTCTGGATCTGATCGGTAAGCTTTCTGATTCCCAACCACTGATTGAGACTGCACTAATGATGTTAGTGGGGCGAGTATACCATGTGCCTTCTTAACCACTTCATCCATCTGTCCTGACACCTTGAAGGACCGTTGGACAGGCACACCAAGGCCCCTCTGACCCTTGGTATTTCCCAAGATCCAACCTTTCATCATGTATTCCCTTGCCTTGTTTGTCCTTTATAAATTAGGATGATAAAATCAATTATAAAAAGCAAACCTCGCTCCTTTATGGCCATTTATCTTTTTCTGAACTTCAGATATTGTAATGCATTTTGTAATTGTATTTAAATTGTTATCACTGGAGGCAACAGAGGTAACTTTGACAGTCCTAGCTTTATATCTGAAAAAGTATTTTAACCTGTGTTAAAATTAATCACATCTAAGTGCATTTAACATTCAACACTCAAGTCTGATTATTTCCTTAAAATATTCAGGTGCTGCTTTATCTTTTAAGAAAAGAATTGGCTAGATTTCAGTTAAATAGTTCCCCTTGTGTTTTTATGCTGTTGTTTAAGACCCATATCAATTAAGCCTTTCTATGTATTGCAGTATATTTACAAATACAAAGTGCAATCATTTTAAATTGATTATTACAGAATGATTCATCAACAAAGAAAGGATGTGCCTCTATTATGATTTTTTTTGGCACAGTACAAATTGTGCTGATGTACAGATCATGTTCTGGGAACTTTACAGTCCTTGATTTGAACACTAGAAGTAGCTCAGCCTCCCATGTGTGATATTTGTAACAAGTTGTCCATACAGCATGTCCTATTATCATTTCTGTGTTCAAAACTTTGACTTTCCATAGAGCAATCATTGGAATCATCTCATTTGCAACTTGTATCTAATTTACACAGTTCTTCTCTGCTGCTCCACTCCTTTCCTTAAACTTTATTCTATTATCATGAAAGCACCGACTTCAGATTACTGTTTGACCTTTTATGAGTTGTATTGAATTGTGAAATGTTACAGCAAACCAGACATTGGTCTCTCGGCTGACCGAGTGTTTTGTTTTAAAAAAATCAAAAGCACTATGGTATTTTCAGTATGTTGTATTAAAGGGGAGGTGATGGCCTTGTGGTATTATCACTGGGCAGGGTGTTCTTGCGTTCAAAACCTACCATGGTAGGTGGTGGAATTTGAATTCAATAAAAACCTGGAATTAAGAATCTAATGATGACCATAAATCTATTGTTAATTATTGGAAAAACCCACCTGATTCTCTAATATCCTTTAGGGAAGGAAGCTACCATCCTTACCTGGCCTGGTCTACATGCATCTCCAACCACAGCAATGTGGTTGACTCTTAGCTGCCCTCTGGGCAATTAGGAATGGGCAATAAGTACCAGTGATAGCCAAATTTTGTGAATGAATTAAAAAAAAAACTTGCAACAAATCGTGCCTTTTTCATTGTGCTACAGGAAACCACAACAATACTGTTTACTTCACAACCAGTCAATCTATTTCCATTTGAAAGCAGAATTCTGCTGTAATTTATTAAATTGAATGATTCTTCAGGTTAAGAATTGTGGGGTGAAACGGTTTTCTGCATTTACCACCCACTCTGATACAACTATGTTGAAATGTTTTACAACATTATAAAAATATTGGCAAATGATACAAAATGTTCTTGATTCTGAACGATAAACGTTAATTGCTGGAAAAGCTCAGCAGGTCTTGTAGCATCTGGGAAGAGAAATCAGAGTTAATGTTTCAGGTCCAGTGATCCTTCCTCAAAACTGATGGTAGCCCGGAAGGGATTGGTTTTTATGCAGAAGATAGAGTTGGGTTGAGGGGGATGATAGGGTAGGGGGAATTACTATTAGCTGCCATCAGTTCTGAGGAAGAATCACTGGACCTGAAACATTAAATATGATTTCTCTACACATATGCTGCCAGACCAGCTGAGCTTTTCCAGCAATTTCTGTTTATTTCTGAATTCCAGCATCTGCAGTTCTTTCGATTTTTGTTTAGTACTTGACTCTGAAGGCATTCTGAATTATCTGTTGACTGATTTTTATGGACGGCAATGACTATTGTCTTCAGCGATTGTGAGGGCTAATTGCCAAAGATTCTATGCATTTTCTTACTTATACTAAGAAGAGTAGCTGTAGTGGCCCTCAATATTTTATATTTCACAGAGCCACATTGAAACTAATAGCAGAATCATGTGTTTATTGCTGATCTCTTGTGTTCTAAATGTGGTAAAGTCAACATAAAATTACTATAATTTCTTTAATACTTTTGAGAATTGCAGTTCACATTTCCAAACCACAACTGTTTTCAGTTAAACTTGATTTGCTTCTCCCATAGTATTACATACATGTAAGCATTGTCAACTCGTTTTATCATCTGTAATGTATGGCTTGGGTTTTTTGATCCACCAGTTTTTAAAAAAAAATCCACTTCCCACTGTCAGAAGAGGATTGACTAGAGAGTGTTGCTCTACAAGTGACAGTGACTTACCCACTTGGTAGTTTATGTTTACTTCAACTGCCAAGTTGTCTATGTGAGAATTATCACAGAGGCATGGGGTGATGGTGCTGTAGTGTCATAGGACTGTTAAACTAGAGACTGAGGCTAATGTTCTTAGAGGTGAGTTCAAATCGCACCACAGTAGCTTGGCTTGATGATGGTGACTATGACAGCTGTGATCGGTACAAAAACCCATCTGGTTTCTAGTGTTCTTTAGGGAAGGAAATCTACTACCCTTAATAAAAACTGAAAGAACTGCAAATGCTGTAAATCAGGAACAAAAACGGAGGTATCTAGAAAAGCTCAGCAGGTCTGGCAGCAGCTGTGAAGAGAAATCAGAGTTAATGTTTCGGGTCTAGTGACCCTTCCTCAGTTCTGAAATGGCTCAAATGTGTGTTTTGTGAATTAGGTTTTAATTGCATTTGTCAGAAATAGAAGTTTATAAAACTTTTTTTCTTTCAGATCGACATTTCAATAATGGCCAATGTTTTCAGCTACTTCGATTGGACAGACGTGAAGTTCAATATTGCTATCTTGGCTGTTGCTTTCAACCCATTGTTCTGGAATATTGTGAGTACTGGATGTCTAAACTATTCTGCCTGACTACAGTACAATTCACTGCATTTGTCTGGTGTATTTCCATACCATTTGTCAAGAAGGGTCTCATTTGAGAAATCCCCACCCAGACAGTAATACAAATCAATATTAAAATATAAAAGAAAAATGCGTGTTGTGGATATTCAAAAGAAGTGAAGATAGGTCCTTTGGCTTGTTCTTTGCTCAAATTTGGTATTTACTAAAAAATCATCCAAAATCATGAACCATAAAACATCAATTTTATACAATCTGAATTCAGTAAAAAAACAAGAAATGATCATCCATTTAAGCAAGCAATCAATCAATTCCCTGAAAGTAATGTTTATGAAGTCCTTAAATTGACTACTGGTTCCTCACCATCCCTGCATTTACCCACGAAAATATATTTTTTTACATAAATAATGCAAACAGCAACCTCCCCCCTCACCAAAAAAAATCCAAACTATAAGCTTTGTAGGCCCTAAGCTCTAGAATTCTGTTTGAGTTAATTTTTTTTTAGTTTGGTTATTGGATATGGGTGTCCCTGACTGGACCAGGATTTACTGCCCCATCTGTAACTGCTAAGAGTCAAATACATTACTGTGGATCACATGTCGACCAGACTGGGTAATGGTCGTAGATTTCCTGAAGGACATCAGTGAACTAGATGGGGCTGACATTAGGCCAGCTTTTCTTTTAATTTTAAATTTAAATTGCACCATCTGCTATTCAATCCAGTGTCCCCAGAAAATTAATCAGAGTTTTTAGATTGTTAGTCCTTACCGCTAGGCCACCATAAACATTCTCACCTCTCCATCATTCATCCTTTTGAAGAACTTCCACAAGTCTAGTTCTTTGGTCAAACTTTGGCAATTCCTCGAATTAGCTCTTTCTTGAACTCTTTCTTTGATCAGTGTTTTTATGTTCCTATGAACATTTTTGTGATGTTTTACTCTATTATATGTATAATGTAGCTGAAAACTGTAATCATTTTTCTTATTTTGTTATTTTATTTCACCATAGTTCAAGAACTTGATGTTCCTGCATATCAATGCATAAGTATCTAGAATGTCACATCACTTACTACTGCACTACAGTCTTGTACTGCACTAACAAAGAATCAGTCCACAGCACATGGTGTGATGTGTGAAATACATTCAAAGAAATGTCCAGAAGTTTTTGTGTCTAAAAATGCAATGATTTCAAATTTCTGGGAACCACAACAAAAGCAAAAATTTCATATGTCAGTCACCAGAAGGACGAGATGAAATCTACCTGTAATAAAGGCAGCCTGTCTTTCTAGGTTGTGGGTGAAGTAAAGTCAATAAAACTTTGTTTTTGTGCTGCTCATTAAGTGTATAATAATACCTTCATTTAAATGTGAAATTATGGTGTTTATCCATTCAGAAATGAATGCTTCAGTTTTAATCTTTAATATTTTTGCAGTACAGGATAAATGAGTGTGAATATATTTTTGGATTCATTTGCAACCAGTTCTTTCCACAATTTTGTTCCGGGCTTCTCTCTGCCCTCAAAAAGACTGGGAGGAAATTACGAGACAATGCTATCACCTCACTGATTTAAGATTGCAACAACCCCTCACTGCTGAGATAGTAGTGGAAAACATGAATCTGGAAGTAATTTTAGTTTTGACTTTTGAGTTGCCTGATATGTTTTTCTTGTGACCCTTGACCTGCATGGTGACATAAGAACAAGAAAACTCTGGATGACTGTGGAAGATGTTGTTAGGTGTTCTTGTGTTATTGTTTTAACTGGAACAATAACATATTGATCCAAGACAACAAGGTGCAGGGCTGGATGAACACAGCAGGCCAAGCAGCAT